CTGTAATAATATGTAGTTAGAATCAAACCAAATATGAGAAACATTAATGGGATCAATAATGCCAAAAAAATCCATTTCAAAATTGCATGCCTACATAATGTTCCTTGATTGGCATCACATCACCCTCCCAAGTGTGGGTATACATTATGCATACGTCGGCTGGAGGCATGGCGTGCTGTGGTCTTTCTCACCCCGGTGATTGGGTCAGGCTGATTGGAAGAATGGTTCAATAATTAATCATCTGTGATGCGAGGTCATGGACGTTGTCGGAGAATATCCGTCCCCTTGTTGCATCAGGTAGTTGGTAGAAGGTAATTTACTAACACACCTACCATCTAATTGCCCAGTTGCTATGCACCGTTATCCAATGATTCGCATCTCAGCGATCAGATTGGTGCAAATTACTTCCATATGTTCAGGATTGGCTACTTTTACCATGCTTTGTCTCAGTGGACTTGTACATGGAAACGTTTCGATATATTCTATAAAATCGCTTAGTGGTCAGTCTGTTTGTTTACACTCAGATACATTCACTGGGTCACCGCGACATAAGAACATGTTTTGAGAGAAGGAGAATGGGCTGTTTGGAAGGACAATCTGTTCTGATGACCTCAGTGATGACAGGCGACATCAGGGTGTCTTTGTGTCTTTACAAAGTATAGTACCTGTCGTGTCGTGCCATATATGAGCGTCTATCTAGAGAAAGCTCTGTGTGTTCACTAAGTCTGTGTTAGCTCATCCCATGTGCCCCCACATCGACTGGCCGAGTTGTTGGCCAATGTAAATAGACCTATAAGAGGGTGGCGTATAAGCAAACATCCTTTGCTCCATATTCCTTCCATTGAAGGGATTGATCAAGGAAGCGAGAAAACTATAGCCTTTATAAAAATAACAAAATCAATGGATCTATAGTATTAGTAGAGTAGGTGTGCATATGAAAACTGAGGTATGACCAATTAAGAATTATATATAAAATAACTTTTCTCATCACGATAGTTACAGACCGGTGATTTTTTTTTTATATTTATTTATCGATCTCAAGTTTCTGGTTTCTTATGGTGTATATTGGGACAAAGGTTTCGTGAAATGTGAAGAACGTGCCCCCTTTGCCTTGTATAACAGTGCCTGGTGGTTATGTTTGTTGATCGGTTGAACAACGAACCTTTCCATAATAATTATCTGTATAATATGGATACTATAGTGATTAAAACGTTTGAAAGTATGTGACTGAGTAATGCTGCTTTCAGCAAAAGTTCAGGCATAGTGTACTGACAACCTGTCCCTGTACACGTGGACAATACCTCTAGGTCCTACTGAGACACATCACATGCACCTTCTCACACGTGGACAATACCTCTTAGTCCTACTTAGACACATCATATACACAGTCTCACCTATTGACAATACCTCTTTAGTCCTACTGAGACACATCACATGCACCTTCTCGCACGTGGACAATACCCCTTAGTCCTACTGAGACACATCACATACACCTTCTCACACGTGGACAATATCTCCTAGTCCTACTGAGACATATATGTTCCTTCTCACACGTGGACAATACCTCTTAGTCCTACTGAGACACATCACATACACCTTCTCACACGTGGACAATATCTCCCAGTCCTACTGAGACATATATGTTCCTTCTCACACGTGGACAATACCTCTTAGTCCTACTGAGACACATCACATACACCTTCTCACACGTGGACAATATCTCCTAGTCCTACTGAGACATATATGTTCCTTCTCACACGTGGACAATACCTCTTAGTCCTACTGAGACACATCACATACACCTTCTCACACGTGGACAATATCTCCTAGTCCTACTGAGACATATATGTTCCTTCTCACACGTGGACAATACCTCTTAGTCCTACTGAGACACATCACATACACCTTCTCACACGTGGACAATATCTCCCAGTCCTACTGAGACATATATGTTCCTTCTCACACGTGGACAATACCTCTTAGTCCTACTGAGACACATCACATACACCTTCTCACACGTGGACAATATCTCCTAGTCCTACTGAGACATATATGTTCCTTCTCACACGTGGACAATACCTCTTAGTCCTACTGAGACACATCACATACACCTTCTCACACGTGGACAATATCTCCTAGTCCTACTGAGACATATATGTTCCTTCTCACACGTGGACAATACCTCTTAGTCCTACTGAGACACATCACATACACCTTCTCACACGTGGACAATATCTCCCAGTCCTACTGAGACATATATGTTCCTTCTCACACGTGGACAATACCTCTTAGTCCTACTGAGACACATCACATACACCTTCTCACACGTGGACAATATCTCCTTACCCTAGTCAGATATGGCACATGTAACGTCTCAGTCACAACCTGCACCTACACACGTGGACAATATAGTTTTGTCATGGTGAGATAGACCACAAGTAACGTGTCACCGACAACCTGTACCTACACACGTGGACAATATCTCTTTTCTTGCAGTTTTACAAAATTGAGTTTGTGAGCAGTCATTTGTTATCTAGTGCAGTGCATCTTTCCAAGGGTACAAGTGCACTGTCCATAACCTCACACTATCCATCTAACATGCTGCACCGTTTAACCAGCCAGCTGTACATATAATTATACATGTATGTCAGATTATTGCCCTTTATCAGTGACTCTCATATGAGTGGAATAACATGATTATTCCTATAGTGTACAAATCCCTTAATGCAGAATATATTGTGACCCCCTTTCTTTTTCGTCACTATACATAACACAAAAGAATAGATTGTAAATCTCCTTATATGTAAATCCAGATCAAGAACCACTCACATGTGGTACCTCAACACAAATAACCCTTCCTGACCAAGGGGCAGTTCAATATCGATAATGAAATCGATCAATATTGATCTCTAGTTTATCGATAAGGACACTAGCCAGAGATAAGTCGTGTATGACACATACCAAGTACTGGGAAGAGTGTGTTGTATGAATGACCGTAGTCTGATCACACTAAGTCGTCCAGTGTTGGCCTGAGAGGGTAGGTCAACCTCCGAGACATATATGGGGATTGTGTATTTCAGTTTACACACGACATAATATACTTATCTCGGGTAGAGGGGTTAGCAGCTGATGGTGTTTGCTCAAGGTACTACCTTGAGGTGTTTTGAGATTAGGTTTCATGTTGTGGATTAGAAGTTTAGTTTTATTATGACAACCGCAGCATTGTTGTTGACTATGTCCCACCATGACTTCCGGGCGCGATGAACTATGGTATTGTTTGCATCGTTCCTGACAAATACGTATTTCATAGTTTAATGCTAGGATACTAAAATGGGGGATTGGTTTTGCTCTTTTATATTTTGTTTAGTTCCCTTAATAAATCATAAGAAGGAAACATAAAACGCCAAAGCCAGAAATGTTTTGCCGAAACAAAATTCATTGGGCTTAAAAGGCAACATAATGGTGAAAATATTATGAACGAATCATTGAAAATCAGTGATGACGCCAGGTGTTAGAGAAAAGATATAAGCATGCCCTGCTCTAACGGTACGACCCGCCACTCACACATAGCATGCAATAGAAACGCCGTGTTCCGAGTTGAACTTTACGCTATTCCTCTGTGAAGCATATAAAGTCGGAATATTTTATCAATAAACAATCTCAGGATTGTTTTGTATTCTGCATATTTTTCATCTGATTTTTATTCTTCGTTAGCAACACGTTTGCAGTCAGTAAGGCGATGAGAAACAGGAAAGCAAAGTTATGTGCCTTCATAACCACTTCTTGAATAATCTCTGAAAGTATATGTCCTTAAATGTCTTTGAAGGATTATATAGATATAAATCCACTACTTCAGTACTTGCAAATGAAACAATAACGTTTCACAGCAAGCCTTGTACATTTACACCTGCTGTGATATTCCTAAAAACTGCTAGAAGTGACAAAAACACGGTACTCACATTTTCTTACATAACCGAGGCTTCCATCAAATACAAGACTATAGTTCATGAATAGTTTAGGGATTTGGCCAAATAAAATAAAAAAATTTCTTCGTCAATTCATTCACACAGTAGGAGGCTGCATTGTTTTGACAAAGAAAACCTTGAAATTTGGATGGTGAGAGCGCTTATATTGATAGAAAACTAAAGGAAAGTCTTCAAAGGCGGACAACTAGACTTGTTTTGGCTGACAACTAGCAACTAGCACCGGTATCACCGGTGGGGCAGGATACGCTCACCTTTTCGCGAACACCTGAGATCATCACTGTGTAATAGTGGTTCATAACACATGCTCGTGATGTAGTCGCAATCGAACAATAGACTCTGCTTTTGGCAGGGCTTTGTCGCTTTTTGTCGCTAAAGCACCGATTTACATAATCCAATGATAATTGTTCTCTGCTTGAACCTACGTGTGTTGAGCTTCCTGACCAAAAACATTAACATTGGAATAGTGAAAACTCCAAATCATGGCATTCAATTGCTTGTCATCACCCAAAATATTTCTGATTGGATGTGAATGAAGAGGACTGATTAAGAAACATATGAAAGAAACAGGTCATGCAAGGTGAAGTAATCAATAACCATTAACAGTTCACATATTTGTGGATGACAATGTGTATGACGTATTTCATAACACGCCATGTTCTCACTACAAATCTATGATTTCCCAAAGGTTATAAAACAGTAATGGCAGTACAACATATATAGCTAAATCATCAATGCCAATGATGTTATTAAACAGAATCTATGTTAAATACAAAAATGGTACAAAAAAGAATGTATTGAGTAAATAGATCATTGATTCTAAAATCTGGAACAAGTAATACACTGGCGTTAGTATTGCAAGACGTCTGTTGATAAGGACGGAGCGACAACTGTCGAGATATCGACTGACTGCACGAACTGGTCTAGTCAGGCACAGGAAGATGAGCTTCCATGTGCATCACTTCCCCTGAGTGCTGTCTACGCATGCGCATGTGTTAGTGTATTCCGTTTCCAAGACATCATTCATCGGGAGGCAGGGATGCTGTTCCAGTGAAACTGTCGCGTGTTAATGGACTAAGGGCCTTAGCTTGACGTTCATCGACATTTTGTTCCTGACAGTGCGTGGTGTATGAACATAGAGACAGATATGTTCTAACTTTGTTTCTTTTATATGGAATACCAGTCATGTACAACAGAGGCTTCAGTGTGGCGTGGATTAACCCAGCTTTTGTGTACATAGACAATAGCCAGGAGATATAGGATCTGATTACAGTGTTGATGTGATACCATCAGAGAAACTTGCTAGCTTGTTTTATTCTCAAATAAACATTGGGGTTCAATTAAGTCTAAAGGCTTGCTGATATACCTGAACAATATTTAAAGTTGAAATGGAATCGGATCAAGAAATGTCCAATTCTGCCTCTGCTTCGACAGACATTGTCTTGAATTCCATCGAACACAAGAGCGCGGAAAGGGCCATTTGGATCAAATGTTTTCTGAACGGAAACCCTTACTTCCCTGGCGAGAGGGTGCTCTACAGCCAGAGGAGGTTTAAGACGGAGGATGCTTTCCTGGACGAAATCACCAGAAAGTTGCACAGCGAGAAGAGTGTCCGTGCACTCAGCACTCCCAAAAGAGGAACTCGAATTCACAGTTTATTTGATTTAGAGGATGGTCAACAATATGTGGCGCTCACTAACGACACATTCAAGAGACTATCGTAAGTTTCCTTTAATGTATGATAGCGTTATAGTTTTAATTTCAGTTATATAAGGACAGATAACATTAGATCCTTTACATACAGTTACACAAAAATGAATGTAACTGCTTCAATAACGCTAACATGGTTACCATATATATAACGTGTATGCTCAAATAAGTGTGTTAATTTTAACGTATAAATGTGTGGCTGAATAATATTTGTCATCCTGATGATCAACATGGCCATCATGTTTGACGGAATATTTTAGATGTACCTATCGTGTCCATTTGGGACCTAATGTCTATTTCATGTTTTCGTCCAATCCAATTATTCCAATCACGATGACCACACACAGTGATGCACGGCATCACAAGGGGCAACACAGTCATCGTCTCCCGCCAGTTGTGGACATCAATATTTCTAACATACAAGATGTCATTCCCTAAAAAACACGGCATACTTATAGAACACCTCTTAACGGATAGCCAAACGGGAAATGATGAACTACTTCTGCTATGTGCATAGGATTCAGTGTGAATGTTTTACAAATTATTTTTAACACCTGGTGTCAGTTTTGTGATAGTATTGTCTTGTTTGTTGTTGAACATCGCTCTCAGCAATATTCCATAAACACACATATTGAATTGGCCTGTAAATAATATGTTGTATAAATATATGGCTTATGTGTACACTGCTGGACAAAAGAAAGTACACACCCATTTTGATGACTAAACCTGAAACAAACAATTATGCTTTTTCGATGGTGAGGTATTTGATTTCGGTGTCTTTCAACCTAGTCTCCAAGTTTCAAGTGTATATTTTCTTTTGCCCGGCAGGGTATATCGTAATATATCGTCCTGTAGTTGCAGACATGTTACATACTTAAACAAGTTTCATTTATGAAATATAACCTTTGTGATCTTAAAAAAAAGTTTTATTTTTAAAATGTAATCTTTGTGAATTGAAATGGGTATCGATCTGGGCCTATCGTACAACAACGTAACTCCCATGCTTTACCATAGACTTAAGCTAGTCGTAGCGCAAATATCGCGCAATATATAGTGGAAGGTGTCCCTTACATCAGCGATAATATGGTCCGTTAACCCAATATAACCCCCTTTAATGTCTGATTTTACTCAGACCTAAAGCCAAACTTCCAACTTGATATCCTACCTTAATACTTAATAATGCCGGTCGATGCAGAAGATATACGTAATCACAAGATCTGAGACCTTGATGGTAAAATAGGTTACCACCATTGATAAAATATCGCTTCTCTCTATAAACTTACACCACATAGAAAAAAGCGCGTGCTCTATAATCACGGAAAACACCTATTTTATCATGGAATGTCTAATTCGGGGGACTTGATACAATGTTACTCGTTCCGCGGGGAATTCGGGATTGTTTAAAGCTTTAGGACCTACAGGAAGTCGGCCAGGCCATGAAGCACAATATGGATTAGCGTATTAACTTGAAAGGTATTTGTGCTCTGTTTACTCACAATGGTAACCTGCGTGTCAGCTTAGTGTCCAAACATGGAATTACAGTTAGTTGTTGGGCAAGTAGTACATACAAGGGTTCCTGTCTACCAAACTATGCAATGTTGCAGTCCGCAATTCGAGACAATGTCGTGTCGACTACGCGACACCATACATGTAGCTGACAGATTTAGAAGTTAGACTCTCAAAGAACAATGAGTACCCTTTATCAGCTTCTAACTACCGATGCGGGAATTGGTTAGGATATGAAATATGTTACTTTGTAGATATACTGGCGTTTATCCAAGTGTTGTTTTTGTGTGCCGTGTTTCTTCACAATGTGCACTGTGTAATGAGTTAGAACGTTGCTGTCGCTGAGTGAGTGAGTTGTGTTTAACGCCGCTTTTAACAGTATTCCAGTTGTACTCTGCACAGCGAATCGCGGCGCCTTAGACGACTGGGCCACCCGTGCCCCCGTTGCTGTCATTGAGAGGGTCCTAATGTACATACACTGTAGATTAGAACCACGTACCATAGTACCATACCAGGTTAACTTGAGTTTGGAGATTATTGGGTGTTGGGGTTTGAGTTTCAGAAAGGTTGTAGTAACTCTCCGACTAGATCCAAATTAGTTTCTCTGCACATTGTAGACGGGAATCACAAACTACGATATCGTTGTCTGTGAGCATCAAGCATTGTAAGGCCCCGGATGCAAACTCATGATCACCATAACAATGGAAAGTCTACTGCTGAGAATGATGGGATGATTAAGAATATTATATTATGATGACGATGCTCCCACTGGTGGTGTTGGTAATGATGATGACGACGACGACGATAAGGACGACGACGATAATAATGATGATAATTTGTTTTTGTTGCATGTTTGTACAGGGTTGCACATGGTTACATTTTACATGTAAATTGCAAAAATATATACAGTTATATCATCATCTTAAATAGCAAATAGGATATAGCACAATGACCTGAATTTATGAAAACGTAGTCAATTCTGGAACTTAGAATGGCTGAACGTTTTGTAAGGACATAGTTATTGTAGAGTCTCTGCTGCAAGAACCGGAAAGTTGGTATACGTTAAGTGGATTGATACAAGAATATGATGCAATTGAAAAGAATTAGAATTACGTTTACTGGGTGAAAATATTGACTGAAACGATAGTCTTTGGTGGCAACAACCACGATTTGTTGTCATCATATCAGAATGCATTTGTTTACGGACAAACAGACTACAGACCTGAAAGCAATTCCCAAAGACAATGACGTGTTATGTTAAAATCAATCAAATACGCCATTAAAATAAGTAGTGCGAGTTGCCTTTATCTTGAGCCAGAAAATCATTTCAGATGATTCAGACAGTCAGATTCCAGTAGATAATGGAACTGCTGTTTGTAATACCGGTGTGTTGTCTAAATTAACCGGGCAAGTCCTAATCAGGATTGCAGGTGGCGTACTCTTGAAAACCGAGCTGTACGAACAGTATGTGTGCTTGGTTAATTATTCATTAATGTGAAACACTAGCCCTGGATGACTCTTTATTCCGGTAGACATGCCCTTACGTGCTTTGAATTTACAGCTCCCGTGGTTTCATCCGTTGTTTTACTTGACTTGAACCTTCCGTATGAACACCGCTGAGTATGTCGAACTGTTCTAAACTCCAAAAGGAATTGTACATGATAACCCCCGCCATGTTACAACAAAATGGAGATATACGAAAGCGCGTGGTTTTCCCTTTCGTTTATACCTACACTCTTCAATCATCGTCTCGTAGTCATAATACAATATAGTTTGCAACATTTCAGTATTGTATATATTTTCCACCATAACAATATGAAGTAATACTGATAGCGGGGTTTTATTTCTATTTCGTGTTGCCGTGCGGATTAAGATTTTTTATTGATAAATCATGAACTCCATATTTACTACTGTCAGAAGACCCGTGAAGATCCGGGGTAGAATAGGTCTTCAGCAACCCATTCTTGCCGTAAAAGGCGAATATGCTTGTCGTAAGAGGCGACTAACGGGATCGGGAGGTCAGTCTCGCTGACTTGGTTGATGCATGTCATCGTATCCCAATTGCGTGGATCGATGCTGGTGATGTCAATCACTGGATTGTCTGGTCCAGACTCGATTTTTACAGACCGCCGTCATTTAGCTGGAATATTGCCGCGTGCGGCTTTGTACAACAAACAAACAAAACAAACTACTGTCATAATTAAACAGGTGGGGTGTCAGTGTAGCTTAAATGTAGTAATATATACCGAGAACAACAGCATCAAGAGTCGAATTCACCTATGAAATTTTCAAATTCTGACATGCCCAATTGCATTTTACTGGTATGTGGTGTACATGGTATGTAGACAGATACTTAGATTCATATGAGCTACCGTCAACATAGGATGGTATCGTGTAAAACGCTATGTGTCCATTCTGCAAGGATTTCGACGTAAACAGTTTTACTATTGCCACACGGAAAGTTCGAACCAGCCCAATTATGTAATTATTAGTAAGATAAGATAAGATAATATTTTATTAACATGATTAATGTATCACACGGTATATGTTACACTGGAATTAAAACAAGTATCATAGAAATATAAAATACCGTCCGGCCGAAATATTAGTAACGACAAACTGTGTTAATCAGAGTTGAATACTACAAAAACATGTATATTGTTGTGGTATACTAAAGGGGAAATTTGTTTGTTATAATTAAGAAGTACATTCATTACCTTATCATAGTTCCGTTTTAATGGAGAGCTGTGCTTCAGTCTTTAGATATTACGACTATCATGTGTGAAACTAAGAGATAATCTTTGTGTTAATGATGGTACCCATAACTGCTGTAGGCTGATGTGCATCTTATAAAGTGAGGGAGTAACATTTACAACGCTGCCAATGTCCCCCGAACCTGGTCTCCCTTCGTTTCACACGCAAATTAATACTGGCGTCAGGCAGTCCATGCGCTGCGTAGTATATATATACATAGTCCCCTAATATGTCTATCGTAACAACAACGATGATGATGATGATGATGATGATGATGATGATGATGATGATGATGATGATAAATACAAGATATAGACAAAATGTTATACCAACTTATATGAACTTAAGACTTGTGAACATCTCCACAAAGTGACTTGTTCTGGTTCAATACACATTAATGATACATAATAGGAATGGTCTACTTTCATTTCAATGCATAATGGTTAAGACTGATTAGTTAGGTTCATAAATTGTGTATCTGAAGATTTATTTTGATTCGGTTTGACTGGATTTATGCCTTTCTTTAGATAATGTTAGCTGATATAGTTTATCTAATCATAGCATTGGGAGTGAGTGAGTTGGTTGGGTTTAACGCCGCTTTTAACAGTATTCCAGTTATATCACGGCGTGTCAGCTTAATGTGGGAGGAAAGCCCGAAGTGATGCAGGTCTCAGACGTTTACCACTTCGGTGAAACCCACGAGCACGGGTATGGTGCTGACAAACCTTGAAACATAATCGGGGCGAACCG